CCTCGCACGACTATAAACGAAAATGTCGTCAAAGTATGTCTGTGCATACGCCCTGTGGAGCCCGAACAATTGCATCACAAGACGATTAAACGTTGCTAGTGCATTTGAAAACCCTTGGGGCATCACCAGCCACTCCCAAAGCATGCCGCTCGGAGTTTTCACCGCTGTCAGCGGAATGTTACTCACTCTCATGGGTAATTAATAATACCCATCTACCAAGTCGAGTGCACTGTACTTGCATCAAATTAATAGTCCGTGTCGAAGAATTCATACACATCCTCACTTATCCGATTTTGTTTAGCGCAGATATAACATAGCAACATATGACGCCATAAAACTGCATGAATGGGTGCTTGCAGATCTTGCTTTTGTTATCCACCCGTCGAAAATGCATAATTTTAGCTTAAGCGTGACTGTTGGACCGCTCAGCTTGACTTCATGGTGACGTGCCCGATCTGTCTGTTAGGGTCTTAGCTGCGATGCGTAAGAAGTAGTTTTTATCCAGGCAAATTCCACTCTATCTACCATCGCTGTGTTTGATTTGCTTAAAGATTTGCATTTATCCCTCCAATTAGCTACAAGCTTTTTTTATTCCCCTTAAAAGAGACTTAAGCTATAATCACACTTTGCCCTCTGTAACTTCTAGACACGTTCGTTAAGGTGCTCAGTCTATGGATGCAGATCAAGCATCTACATTCATTCTCATTGGTGGCGAGTATAACAACTAGTCCTGTTGTGTGCTAGCCGCAATTTCACCCTTCTCAAAGCCCATATAAAGCGAAATGTCTATTAGGCGACTTTTGGCAGCTCTGTTTGCTGAAAAACCAACAAACATTTGTGCATATTCTATAGAGAACAAAAACACACTACCGACACCGCGTCTTCGCCCCACCGAGATAACATTTGGTGCTGATGTTGTTATAGATTCCAAAATGCCTTTTCCAGCACATGATGTACCTTTTTTGCAAAGCTGAAAGACAAACGTGGCCACCAGAAATGCACGGCCGAAAGAATATTTTATCATTCTCACATGCAATTTGAGCAGTAGGGTCAGTGGCCTAAATCTCATGTAAAAATGGTTGAAGTTATTGGCAATAATACCGATGGTCGTCGCTGATTTCTTCGGCGGTGGTAGCACTAATACGATAGCGCGTTCGCAGGCATACTTGCACACCCTCAGTTCTGTGAGTTTCTTCTGCGAGACTTTCGGGGCTGCTAAGCGTAGCATTATGAGCTTGAAGTAATTTAACTTTTTGGTAAGATATTGAACTGGCGTGGTCGATACAGCTGTTGTGATCGGCGCATAACTTATTGACGATAACGATCGATTGTCACAGCACTCATTAAATGAATCATTCGGAGCTCGAACGAACACGGAGTTTTACTTTGACATGCAATCTTATGAGCTGTAGATTCGGATAGCTTAGCGCTTAAACAAGCGAGCGCAAATACATTTGCATGTACCGTCGCAACCTGTCGAATATTCCCACAGGCATCGTGCAACGGGATTACACGTACCCTGGTAGCAGGGGGGGTCACACGAGATGGGCATGGTGTGACGGCACCCAAACACGAATACGGTATGTGGCTAGGTAGCCAGTAGTTATGCATGAATTTAAATTTTACTGTATATATGTAGTTTATTTAGGAAAATATAAGCATATAAAATTAGGCGGCTTTGCCGCAGATAAAAATAATAAAAATCAGCTTTATATTTAGACTGAAGTTTAGCCTTGGTTAGGATAATAACTACTCTTGGAGGTAGCGGATTTCGATCCGCTATACTCGTATTTGGTTCTTGTAAAGAACGAAAGGTCGGTGACCTAAATTACGCTTCCTCAAGCGCTAAGTTACGGCAGCCCCGCTGCACTTGGTAGCACTTCTAGTCAATCTAAACCTAAGTCGTTTAGACGGATCCTCTGTGAGGATGGAGGAATTCTTCTATTTGCCCCAGGGCATGCAGGACGGGCTTAACAAGCTGATGTCCTTGCTTGGCCCTGAGGGCGTGCAACACCTTGTAGCGCAAGGCCTCGAGGCAATCGGTGCGCGTCTAGAGGCGTTTTCAAGTTACGAAAACGCGCCGCTAGAGCACCTGCAGCAGAAGATGTCGGCATCATTTGCGTCTATGACGCCACCGTCGATGACGGATGATTTCCCCCGCCCTAAGCCGCTCATGGTGAGTGTTAAGGTCTTTGAGGGGGAAGATGGAGAGAACTCCTGCTTTGAGTGGAAGAGGTCGAGATGGCCATCGCATCCGCCATGGTCCAGACTGAGCAA